ACTAAACAGGACTCTGTTAGAGTGTATGTATGCAGTGTGTCTAGTGCCCAGTGCCCACCTTTGCAATAAATTTGCAGCCAATAAAAGCATTTCTTTGCACGCAAATTTCAACTGCATTTTTTCCCTCATACGATGTATTCGCTTTTACATTAATGTTTGACGCTGAAATAGCAATTATGAATTGTAATTTAAAATTAGCATTTTGCACAATAAGATTGGCAAGCATTGCACACATGCTTGTATGCAAATTAAACGTTTACTTAATTTATCTAAAGAAAAGATTTGAAATTAAATATATGTTCAAGGAGGAATGTTTATACATATTCAATTATGTAAATAAGAATATATAAACGCTAACTGAATATAAGCAATATAAACTACACAATACACAGTCACTAACACTGCCATCTGCTAAGGATGAGACTTAGTGATGGAATGGTAGAGTTTGTATAAGTCTTATTTCTTACAGTAAAATAACCAGAAACTCTGAAACAGGAAGAACAATTTATATCAATTTAAGTGTATTTGATGGTGTTACAAAGAAAATAGTTCTACTCGACTCTTATTAAATAACTAATTTACTCTCCACTAAACCCCACTATTTCTTCGGTCAGTGAACTTCAAATCACTGCAGTACATACTGAAAGCTTAGTTGAGTATGAATTAAGTAAAATGGATCTGATTACACGGCAAAATTGCTGTGTCCCATGCTTATTGGACAGTTTAAAGGCATAATTTAAGTCTAAGGGCGGATACAGGGGGGCGGCATGACCTTTGCCCCCCCCTGAATTTTCAGAATTGCTTCTCAATTTCAGAATAGCTAAAGAAAACCATTCGCAAAAGAGAAAAAATATTTATCTTAAAAACATTCGCCTGCGCGACGGCGCGTCTATTGGTTAAATCTGGATTTTTTGTTCCGAAATAAATCTAGCATCCCCCCTCACTTAATCCTGTATCCGCCTCTGCTCACTTCTCAAAGTCGTCTTCCTGTTTTAGAGTTTTCTGGTTATAACTGTACATTGATGGCTTCTTGCAGCTTTATATGTCTTTACATATTCATCGAATCATGAGAACACTCTTTAAAAATCTATTTTCAATGTATAAGCCCATCTTAGGTCGTTATTTAAGTCTTGTCCTTTGTGGGTAACCCCCCCCGCCCCCCCCCCCCCCTTAATGATGTGAACCTTAAACCTTTTATTTAAAATATGTGATATGAATGTTGAGTATTTTAAGTATCCGCATATATTTTCACCCGAATAGACATTGTACAGTCTACCAATCCTTGAACAAAACTGGATTATTTACCCCTTTTATAACTTTCTTTTTTTCAAGCCTTTCATTTAGTTTTGATATTTTAATACAAATTTTATTGTGAATCCTATTGTTTCTGTTTGGCAATATATGATTTTACTGAAATCAGAATAATCAAAATACATCAAACCCTCTTCCGAGAGAATAATATTAAGGATTTTTTACATAAATAAATTGTAGCTAAGAGCTTGCCAAGGGTATTTTAAACAGTTTTAACTTGCTAATTTTCACCCCTGTCCAAAAATACTTGATTTCAAGAATAAAGACAACTTCCCATGTATACTGACATCTTTATTTCAACAAAAGAAACAAAGAAATTTCTTGAAATATATAATCAATTCTAGATTTTGGTGAAATCGTATTTATTTTGGCAGACCCTCTGTGATGATCGAAGGGGAAGAGACTGCTTATCATTCTTATTTCATGAAATGGCATCAGTAGTAGTAAATATGCTTGTTAGTTGAAATGACTTTAAAGGGGTTAAATTAGGCATCTAAGTGTTCAAATTCTGATATGTAAGTACCTATGATAATCATATACTGCAGGGTTACCTGTAAAAAAAGAGTCAAATCCATCAGAGCTGAAAACTTTAGAATGGTAGATATCGAGATCAATGCTTGATCTCCTCTTTTTCTTTATCTCAAGATTAAATAATGCTTATTCTACTCTTGTTATTAATCTCCAGATTAATTAACCGATCGGGATTAAGGATATTCCATTCTAAAGTTTTCAGCTCTGAATAATTAATTTTTTAATATATAAAGATTTATTCACACACAAAGATATAAATACATATATAAATGGTGTAGTTAAAATTTGTTTAAATAATTTTTTTTTTGAAAATACAGGTTTCCAAAAGAAAAGAGAAAAAATATGCAAAATTATGCACAAATAGAAAACATTGATTTTTACTCACTACATAACATATTTATCATTTCAGTTATTACGTAATCATCGAATCCTTCAACATATAAATTATTCATTCTTGTA